GGGATTGAGGGGTTTGGGACCTCGGGAACCTCCTGACTGAGGGATCTGGGAATTTTGGGATGGGATTTAGGATTTTATTTTGGAAAAGGAGAGAGAATTCCTGGGGCTGAGGGATTTGGGATCTCCTGCCCAATGGATTTGGGAATTTTGGGGTCGATTTCGGGGTTTTAAGGAGGAAATGAAAGAGTTAAAAGTGCCTGAGATGTCCGGGATCTCCTCCCGATGGATTTGGGAATTTTGGGATGGGATTTGGGATTTTATTTTGGAAAAGGAGAAAGAATTCCTGGGGCTGAGGGATTTGGGATCTCCTGCCCAATGGATTTGGGAATTTTGGGATGGGATTTTGGGGTTTTTTTGGGAAGAGGGGAGAGAATTCCTGGGGCTGAGGGGTTTGGGATCTCCTGAGGGATGGATTTAGGAATTTTGGGATGGGATTTGGGGTTTTTTGGGAGGAAAGGAAATGGTTAAAAGTGGCTGAGGGGTTTGGGATCTCCTGCCCGAGGGATTTGGGAATTTTGGGGTCGGATTTGGGGTTGTTTTGGGGAGGACAGGGAAGAGTTAAAGGTTCCTGAGCTGCCCTGGGAACTCTGGGATCTCCTCCCAGCGGGATTTGGGAATTTTGGGATGGGATTTCAGGATATTTTTTTGGAAGAGGGGAGAGAATTCCTGGGGTTGAGGGGTTTGGGATCTCCTCCCGAGGGATTTGGGAATTCTGGGATCGGATTTAGGATTTTTAGGAGGACAGGGAAGGGTTAAAGGTTCCTGAGCTGCTCAGAGAGATCCCGGACTCCCCTTCCCGATGGATTTGGGAATTTTGGGGTCGGATTTAGGAGTTTTTTAGGGAGAATGGAAAGAGTTCCTGGGGTTGAAGGGTTTGGGATCTCCTGTCGGATGGATTTGGGAATTTTTGGATCAGATTTGGGGTCGGATTTGGGGAGGAAATGAAAGAGTTAAAGGTGCCTGAGCTGCCCAGAGAATTCCGGGAGCTCCTGACTGAGGGGTTTGGGAATTTTGGGATCGAATTTCGGGGTTTTTTTAGGGGGAAGGCGAGGAGTTCCTGGGGCTGAGGGGTTTGGAATGTCCTGCCCGCGGGATTTGGGAATTTTGGGATGGGATTTGGGGATTTTTTTGGAAGAGCGGAGAGAATTCCTGGGGTCGAGGGGTTTGGGATCTCCGGTCGGACGAGCTTGGGAATTTTGGGATGGGATTTGGGGATTTGTTTTTAGGAGGACAGGGAAGGGTTAAAGGTTCCTGAGCTGCCCTGGGATCTCCGGGAGCTCCTCCCAGCGGGATTTGGGAATTTTGGGATCGGATTTCAGGATATTTTTTTGGAAGAGGGGAGAGAATTCCTGGGGTTGAGGGGTTTGGGATCTCCTCCCGACGAGCTTGGGAATTTTGGGATGGGATTTGGGGATTTGTTTTTAGGAGGACAGGGAAGGGTTAAAGGTTCCTGAGCTGCCCTGGGATCTCCGGGAGCTCCTCCCAGCGGGATCTGGGAATTTTGGGATCGGATTTAGGAGTTTTTAGGATGAGTTCCTGGGACTGAAGGGTTTGGGATCTCCTGCCCGATGGATTTGGGAATTTTGGGATCGGTTTTGGCGTCGGATTTGGGAAGAAAGGAAAGAGTTAAAAGCGGCTGAGCTGCCCAGAGAATTCCGGGAGCTCCTGACTGAGGGGTTTGGGAATTTTGGGATCGGATTTCAGGATATTTTTGGGAAGAGGGGAGAGAATTCCTGGGATTGAGGGATCTGGGATCTCCTGAGGGATGGATTTGGGAATTTTGGGGTTGGATTTAGGATTTTTAGGAGGACAGGAAAGAGTTAAAGGTGCCTGAGCTGCCCTGGGATCTCCGGGAGCTCCTCCCAGCGGGATTTGGGAATTTTGGGATCGGATTTCGGGATTTTTAGGAGGAGGGGAGAGAATTCCTGGGGCTGAGGGGTTTGGGATTTGCCGAGGGACGGATTTGGGAATTCCGGGATGGGATTTGGAGTTTTTAGGGAAGCGCTCCCCGCCTCCCTGCGAACGACAGGAACAAAACAACTCCTTTTCCAAGGATTTCCTGGAATTTTCAGCCAATGGGAAGGAGCCTGGAGGGGGGAGGAGGAAGAAAAACAAATCCCAAAGTTTGGGGTTTTTTGGGATCACAAAAAAAAACAAAACCCCAAAACCCCCTCGTGACCTTTTCCCTTTTCACTCCCGGAAATTTCAACTTCCCGAAAATCCCGGCGGGATGAGAAAAAACCGGGATGAGAAAAATCCGGGATGAGCAAAATCCGGGATGAGCAAAATCCTGGATACGAAAATCCGGGATACGAAAATCCGGGAAGACAAAAATCCGGGAAGACAAAAATCCGGGATACGAAAATCCGGGATGAGAAAAATCTGGGATACAAAACTCTGGGATACGAAAATCCGGGACTACAAAAATCCGGGATATAAAAAATCCGGGATATAAAAAATCCGGGATATAAAAAATCCGGGATGAGCAAAATCCGGGATGACAAAAATCCGGGATGACAAAAATCCGGGATGACAAAAATCCGGGATACGAAAATCCGGGATTATTTAAAAAACTCAGGAAAAGGGAAGAGGAGGAGCAGGAATTTTGGGAATGGCGAGGATCGGGATTTTGTAATTCCGTGGGAGGTTGGGATTTGGGGCTCTGCCCCCGATGTGGGAGGGAAAAATGGGAGGGAAAAATTCCAGGCTCGGGAAGAGCGAGAATTCCCAGATTTCCGAGCCTGCCGGAGATTGTTCCAGCCGGGAATTCGCTCCCTGCCAGGTAAATCCATCAAAATCCTGGGAATTTGGGATTTTCCGGGTGGGTTTGGGGTTGTGTTGAGCCGGGGTTGGATTATTCCACAGGAAATTTGGGAATGTTTTCACTAAGGAGAAGCGTGGGAATTTCAGGGAGGAGTTTTTGGGATTTTTCCCATGAAAATTGCGCTTTTCCCCCCCCAAAAATCAGATTTATTACTACTATTATTATTATTATTATTATTATCATTACTATTATTATTATTACTATTATTATTATTACTATTACTATTATTATTATTATTATTTATATTTATATTTATATTTATATTTATATTTATATTTATATTTATGTTTATATTTATATTTATATTATTATTATATTTATATTTATATTTATATTTATTACTTTAATTTTTATTATTTTTATTATTTTTATTATTATTATTTTATCTATTTTATTTTTATCTATTTTATTTTATTTTATTTTATTTTATTATTAATATTTTTATTTTTATTATTGTTTTTATTTTAATTTTTATTAATATTGTTATTAATATTGTTATTAATAACGTCATTAATATTAATATTAATATTAATATTTATTTTAATATTTATTTTTATATTTATTTTTATATTTATATTATTATTTTTATTTTTTATTTTTATTTTTATTACTTTAATTTTTATTATTTTTATTATTTTTATTATTTTTATTATTATTATTTTATCTATTTTATTTTTATCGATTTTATTTTATTTTATTTTATTTTATTTTATTTTTTACAATAAAAAATATCTTTCTTTTTTTTATGGAATTTCTAAAAAATGAAATTAATTTTTTAATTATTAATTAATTTTTTTTTAATAAAAGTTGATTTTTTTTTTTAATAAGAAAAATGAAATTAATTTTCTTGCCGGTTTTTATCCTTGGGGATTTTCCAGCCGGGAATTCCAGGGTGGATCAGAAAAGCTGGAAAAGAGTCAGGGAAGGGAGAGCGGGAATTTCAAAGGGAATAATTCAGTAAAAATCATTTCGTTAATAAAACATGAAATGAAATTAAATGAAAATATGAAATATAAATTATGAATTATGAATTATGAATTATTAAATATAAAATATAAAGTATAAAGTATTAAATACAAAATATAAAATATAGAATATAAAATATAAAATATAAAATATAGAATATAAAATATAAAATATAAAATGTAAAATATAAAATACAAAATATAAAATATAAAAGAAATAAATATAAAATATAAAATATAAATGAAATAAATAGAATTGAATAAAAATAAAATAAAATAATAAAAATATAAAAAATAGAAATGAAATAAATAAAATAGAAAAAATAAAGTAAAATAAAGATAAAATAAGATAAAAAAAAATAAAATAAGACAAAATAAAATAAAATAAAATAAAATATAAAATAAAATAAAATAAATAAAAGTAAATAATATGGAATAAAAATAAAATGAAATAAAATAAAAATAAAATAAAGTATTAATAAATTAAAATGTACTAAAATAAAATATAAAATGAAATATAAAATGAAATGAAATGAAATAAAGTAAAAAATCAAATGAAATAAAGTGAAATATAAAATAATAAAATAAAATAGTAAAATAAAATCAAAATAAAATCAAAATAAAGTAAAACAAAATAAAATAAAATTAAAAGAAAATAAAATAAAAGAAAAGAAAATGAAATAAAATAAAATAAAATAAAATAAAATAAAATAAAATAAAATAAAAGAAAATAAAATAAAATAAAAGAAAATAAATTAAAATGAAAGAAAAGAAAAGAAAAGAAAAGAACTGAATTAGGTAAAATCCAATTTCCCGCTGATTTAATGAACAAAACGGACCCAATTTAATCAATAAAATCCCAAACTCCCCCCAGGAACTCATTTAAATATTAATGATTAATTATTAATATCATCAATAACCTCGGCTCCCCAGGAGCTGATCCCAGACAAAAAAACTTCCTGGAATTCCATGAAAAACCGGGATGAGAGGCTCCGGAATTCCATGGAAAACCGGGATTGGAGGCTCCGGAATTCCATGGAAAACCGGGATTGGAGGCTCTGGAATTCCATGGAAAACCGGGATGAGAGGCTCCAGAATTCCATGGAAAACCGGGATCGGGGGCTCCGGAATTCCATGGAAAACCGGGATTGGAGGCTCTGGAATTCCATGGAAAACCGGGATCGGGGGCTCAGGTTTTTGGGAAGAGCAGGAGGAGGCCGAGGAAAAGCCGGGTTTAAATTCCCACCTCAGTTTTAGGCCTGGCTTAAAATTGAGGGAAAATCCCGGAATTCCTGGAATGTGCAGCCGCTCCGTGGGATTCCTGCATTCCCAAAAGGCAAAAAAAAATGGGAATATTTGACAATCCGGGTGGGATTATCCCAAAAATCCTGCCCGGAAGGGGTTTTGGATGGAAAAAATTCCCGAATTCCAGAGAAATTTGGGGATAAAGGCGGGAATTTGGAGATTGGTGATTCCAGAGGGGGAGGATTTTTGGGAATGGGAGCGGGAAAAAGCTGCAGGATTGGGAATGGCCAGGTCAGGATCCTTGGGATTCCCAACCGGAATTCCCAGCCTGAATTCCCAACTGGAATTCCCAACCAAAATTCCCAACCAGGATTCCCAACTGGAATTCCCAGCTGGAATTCCCTTGGGAAAAGCTTTGGGTGGGAAAGAGCCCGGGGAATTTCTGCCTGGAATTGGGGGGGAATTTTCTCTGGGAATTTGGGGAATTGTGGGAATTTCCTGTGGGAATTTGGGGAATTGTGGGAATTTCCTGTGGGAATTGTGGGAATTTCCTGTGGGAATTTGGGGAATTGTGGGAATTTTGTCAAGGAATTTCCTCTGGGAATTGCGGGGAATTCAGGAATTGGGGAGGATTTCCTTGGGGAATTTCCTGTGGGAATTGGGGAATTGGGGAATTTCCTCCAGGAATCCCTAGGAAAATTTGGGGAAAAAAAATCGGGAAAATTTGAGAAAAAAAAATTGGGAAAATTTGAGAAAAAAAAAATTGGGAAAATTTGAGAAAAAAATTGGGAAAATTTGAGAAAAATTGGGAAAACTTGAGAAAAAAATTGGGAAAATTTGAGAAAAAAATTGGGAAAATTTGAGGAAAAAATTGGGAAAATTTGAGAAAATTTGGGAAAAAACTCTGGGAAAAATTTGAGAAAATTTGAGAAAAATTGGGAAAAATTGAGAAAAATTGGGAAAAATTGAGAAAAAATTGAGAAAATTTGAGAAAATTTGGGAAAATCTGAGAAAATTTGGGAAAAAACTCTGGGAAAAATTTGAGAAAATTTGGGAAAAATTGGGAAAATTTGAGAAAAGTTAGGAAAAAACTCTGGGAAAAAACTCTGGGAAAAACTGGGAAAATTTGAGAAAAAATTTGAGAAAATTTGAGAAAAATTGGGAAAATTTGAGAAAAATTGGGAATATTTGGGAAAAGATTGTGAAAATTTGAGAAAAAAAAATGGGAGAATTTGGGGAAAAATTGGGAAAATTTGAGAAAAAACTCTGGGAAAAAAACTCTGGGAAAAATTTGAGAAAAATTGGGAAAATTTGGGAAAATCTGGGAAATTCTGGGAATCTTGGGCTCGGCTGTCTCCGGCTGAGCTGTTCCCTTTCATCCCTTTCCCAACTTTTCCTGAGGATTTTTGGGATGGGCCCAGCCGGAATTGCCGCCGAGGGCGGGGGATCGATCCAAGGAAAATAAAACCCCTTGGATTGGATCCCAGGGATTCCGTTCCCAGGAATTCCGGTCATTCCCGGTGTTTTCCAGGCCATGTCCGTGCCGGGAATTCTGGGATCGCTGCTCCAAGAGGAGGAAAAGTTTTCCTCGTGCCTGGCCCGGCTCGACGCCCTCATCCTCAAACCTCTGCTCCAGGCAGGTAAATCCAGGGAATTTTGGTCTGGAATTCCCACTGGGAAATGGTTTTTGGGAATGTTTTCCCTAAAATCGGGAAGTCCAAACTGGGGGTTGTGGTTTTTTGGGATGAATCCGTGGAGAATTCATCCATAAATCCCTAAAATTTGGCTCCTCCTCTTTCCCTGCTCCCGGTCCAGGCTGATCCCGGCTGGGAAAATTCCTGGGAATGGAATCCAGGGAATCCAAACAGCTCCGAAATCCAGGGAAATTCCTGGAGCCATTCCAGGAATTCCCTTGGGGATGATTCCAAGGAAACTGGGAAATTCCTTGGGAAAAAGACGGGAATTTTCCCTCCGGAGCACCGGGATGAGCTCCCCGAGAGTTTGGGATGGATTTTATCCCATTCCAGCAAAACCAACTCCAGGAACAGGGAAAATTCCTGGATTTTCCCCTTTTTCAGATCCGTTTTCCCGGTTTTTCTTTGCTCCCCACTTCCCCAAATCATGGAATTTCTTCCTTGGAATTTCCCCTTTTCCCTTTTGTTTTTACCAGAGGCCACATTCCATGAATTTCTTTGGCCATTCCCACGGCATTTTTCCCGATTTTTTTCCCTCCCAGAACCCAACGATCCGAAGGAAAAGGAGAATTTCCAGCTCCTGGTGCTGCTCAACGATCGCTTCCAAGCCCTCTGGAATTTCACGGAGGAGAATTCCCGGATCCTGAGGGGCTCCGACTCCGGCTGTATCCAGGATTTTTACATCCTCTGGAAAGGAGATCTCTTCCTCAGCCTCTCCATCCAGTGAGAGCCGGAATAATTATTAATTAATAATTATTAACTATTAACTATTAATTATTAACTATTAATAAATATTACTATTACTATTACGATTACTATTAATATTACTATTACTGTTACTATTACTGTTACTATTAATATTACTATTAATATTAATATTAATATTAACATTAACATTAACATTAACATTAATATTAATATTAACATTAACATTAACATTAACATTAACATTATTTAATATTATATAATATTATATAATATTATATAGCATTATCTAATATTATATAATTATTATACAATTATTATATGATTTTTATATAATTATTATATAATCATTATATAATTATTATATAATGATTATATAATTATTATATAATTATTATATAATTATTGTATAATTATTACGGAGCTGGAATACGGGATTCCGTGGATCCCGGTTGGGAATATCGGGAAAAATCGGGATGAGAACCCTCGGAATATCCCGGAAAATTGATTGGATTGGGTTTTTTTTTTTTTCCATGAATTTGCGCTTTTGGGTCGGGAGCTGAGAGTCCAGCGGGAATCAAATCTTATGGAGAGCTGAAATTCCATAAAAATCTTCAATTCCACCTTTTTTCTTCTCCATAAAAGTGGCCAAAATTTTTCCAGTTGGGATTTTCCACTCTGGATTTTCCACTCTGGATTTTCCACTTTGGATTTTCCACTTTGGATTTTCCTTCGGGATCAAAATCCCGGGAATTCGAGTTGGTTTTCCTGTAAAAATGGGGGGAAAAAATGGGAATTTGGGATGAGATTTGGGAATGATCCAAAGGAATTTGTCTGGAGATTTTATTCCCGTTTCTTTTGGAATTAAAGCTGGGTTTAATGAGGCATTTGTTGGGAAAATCAGGGATTTGAGTGGGAAAATGTGGGATTTGTTGGGAAAATCTGGGATTTGTTGGGAAAATCTGGGATTTGAGTGGGAAAATCTGGGATTTGAGTGGGAATTTTTGGTAAAATTGAAGCTCTTGGAAAAAAATTGTGGAAAATATTAAATGGGAAAAGAAAATTCCGAGTTTGGAGAAATGAACGGAGCTCAGAGCCGGAACAACTCCATCGTTTCCATCCCAGAATTCCCAAATTTTCCAAATTCTGATGGGAATTCCGGGCTGAGGAATTCCTGCAGGCAGGAATTTCATTCCATGAAATCCGATGGAAACAGATCCCGCTCCCATCAGTGCTTTTATCCCCAAAAATCCTGGAATTAAAGTCAGGAAAAAATTCCCGGATCTGACCTTGATTCCCATCAAACTTCCCACATTTTTCCAGATTGTGGGATTAAGGGAATTTCCCAACGATTTGGGATCCCGAAATTCATCCCGAATTTCCTTCTCCCTCGTATCCTTGGAATTTTTTCCAGGTATTTCGTCACCTTTGCCAACTTCGTGGTGGTTCAAGGATTCGAGCGGGCGGCCGGGAACAAGAGGTCAGCGGCTGGAAAATCCTTGGGAATCTTGGGAATCTGTGGGATTCGGGGACAATTCCAGGATTTTCCTCTTTCCAAGAGCTCCCGGCTCCCTCTGGATTTGGAATTCTGGGATTTAGGGACAATTCCAGGAGTTTCCTCTTTCCAAGCTCTCCCAGCTCCCTCTGGAGTCGGCAACTTGGAATTTGGGGATTTAGGGAAAAGATGGGATTGGAGAGGGGGAATCTGGCTGGGAATTCCTCTAATCCCAGATTTTGATGGAAGCAGGGAATGAAAATGTGAATTTCTAAGGAGCCCATTCCCAAACCCTTTATTCCCAATTTTTCCGTGGCTCAGTTCCAGGATTTTCCTCTTTCCAAGCTCTCCCAGCTCCATTTAGAGTCAGAATTCTGGGATTTAGGGACAATTCCAGGATTTTCCTCTTTCCAAGTGCTCAAAGCTCCTTTTGGAGTTGGAATTCTGGGATTTAGGGACAATTCCAAGATTTTCCTCTTTCCAAGCTCTCCCAGCTCCATTTAGAGTCAGAATTCTGGGATTTAGGGACAATTCCAGGATTTTCCTCTTTCCAAGTGCTCAAAGCTCCTTTTGGAGTTGGAATTCTGGGATTTAGGGACAATTCCAAGATTTTCCTCTTTCCAAGAGCTCCCGGCTCCCTCTGGATTTGGAATTCTGGGATTTAGGGACAATTCCAAGATTTTCCTCTTTCCAAGCTCTCCCAGCTCCATTTAGAGTCAGAATTCTGGGATTTAGGGACAATTCCAGGATTTTCCTCTTTCCAAGCTCTCCCAGCTCCATTTAGAGTCAGAATTCTGGGATTTAGGGACAATTCCAGGATTTTCCTCTTTCCAAGCTCTCCCAGCTCCATTTAGAGTCAGAATTCTGGGATTTAGGGAAAGGGTGGGATGAAATTCCCTTTAATCCCAGCTTTTGACAGCTGAAAATCCCAATTCCCGGATCTTTTCACGGCGATTCCGGGAGAATTAACGACCTTTTCTCCTCATTCCTGATTTTCCAGTGAGGCCTGGAGGCGGCACAAGGCGGTGCTGAAGGAATTCCTGCGGGATTTCAGCTCCGAGAGCTCCCTGGCTCCAGCCCTGCACTCGGAGCTCCTCAAACCTTTCCGGGAGCACGGCCGGAGCTGCCTCCGGCTCCTCCAGCAGCTCCGGGAGCAGCTCCAGGAGGTGGGAATGGGTCTGGAATGCTCGGGGTTCTGACGGGAAGAAATATTCCCAAAAATCCAGCCTGGACCTTGATAAATATTCCCAAAAATCCAGCCTGGATATTCCTAAATATTCCCAAAGATCCAATCTAGATGTTGCTAAATATTCCAGGAATTCCAGCTTGGATGTTGGTGAATATTCCCTAAAATCCAGCCTGGACATTGCTGAATATTCCCAAAAATCCAACTTGGATATTGCTGAATATTCCCAAAAATCCAACTTGGATATTCCTAAATATTCCCAAAAATCCAGCCTGGATATTCCTAAATATTCCCAAAAATCCTGCCTGGATATTGCTGAATATTCCCGAAAATCCAACCTTTATGAATTCATTACTGAATATTCCCAAAAATCCAATCTGAACTTTGATAAATATTCCCAAAAATCCAGGCAGGACCTCGCCAAACATTCCTGAAAATCCAGCCTGGACATTGCTGAATATTCCCAAAAATCCAGCCTGGACGTTGCTGAATATTCCCAAAAATCCAGAATGGATATTTTTAAACATTCCCGAAAATCCAGCTTGGATCTCCCTTCCCCCCACCGGGAGCATTCCCGGATTTTTCCATCCTTTCCCAGGGCCCCGAGCGGGACGCGGCCGGAGCCATGGAGCGGGAATTCGGGAAGTTGGAATCCTTCGTCAGCCAGGTCCTGGATGAAGCCGCCCGCACCAAGGAGCTCTGGAATTCCCTGGGATGTAAATTCACCGTGAGTCCGGAATGGGATGGGAGAGGGAATGGGAATTTGGGAATGGGAGAGGGATTGGGAATGGGAATGGGAATGGGAATGGGAATTTGGGAATGGGAATGGGAATGGGAATGGGAATGGGAGAGGGAATGGGAATTTGGGAATGGGAGAGGGATTGGGAATGGGAACGGGAATGGGAACGGGAGAGGGAATAGGAATGGGAATTTGGGAATGGGAATTTGGGAATGGGAGAGGGAATGGGGATGGGATTGGGAATGGGAATGGGAGTGGGAGAGGGAATGGGATTGGGAATGGGAATGGGATTGGGAATGGGAATGGGAATGGGATTGGGAATGGGAATGGGA